TGAGGACCCCCTCCCGGCTTCCCCTCTGTCCGCTGCCACCTCCCTCTCCACCAAGTGGTGGAGCCCTGCCTCGGGTCGGCAACAGGGGGGCAAGGAGAAAAAACCTGCTGCCGTCTACACGCTCCCCACAGCCATGCCCTCCCTCCCACAGCCACCCAAGGCGTGTTCCATGTACAGCAGGCCCTCCTCTGTCTCTCCCCCCGCTTCCCCTCCTCCTCTCGCCGCCTCCGCGCTTCCCTCCCTCCTCCCCCCCCCCCTCCCCCTTTCCCTTCCCCTCCCCTCCCACTCCTTCCACACGTCGTCGTTGCAACAGACCGACAACCACTCGCACTCGCCGACAAGCATAGAGTACCACAACGCCACCCAGGGCACACCCACGTAGTGACCACATCAGCTACCACCAGTGTCTTTAGCGCCTCCCCCTTCCCCTCTTCCCCCATCCCCCTCCCCTCCCCTCTCCCCCCCCCCCACCGCCACCACCACGTGTTCCACAACTCACGCAAGACGACGGCACATTGTGCGACACCAGGCCGGGCAAGCTGGTCAAGTTTGGACTGGAGAAGCGCGACCAGTACAACCCGCCGACATCCGAGCTCACGCTGGCGTTCAGCAAGCTGGAGGAGGCCAAGATGCTGCAGAAGACAAAGTCGTCGTATGCCATCACTGAGGTTGGCATCAACGAGCGGAACCGGCTGAGGGCAAGGTTCGGCGGAACCTCATTTGAGCTCGCGGCCCGCGAGCTTGCCGACGACCCGATCGTCCTGCCCGAGCCGCTCAAGCCGCGCAAGTCCAAGCCGGCCGGGGCAGGCAAGGCCAAGACGCCGCGGCGCAAGAAGAAGAACACGCCAACCAAGGTGGGACGGCCGCCGGCAAACGGCTCGTCCAACGGAGCGCCCGGCAACGGGCGCTCGGCGTCGGCTACTGGCCTCCAGTCTGTAGGCAGGCGGGAGCCGACACGATCGGCCAACACGACGCCGACCCAGCAGACGGCGATGCAGGCGCAGGCACAGACCATGCCGCCGTCGGCCGCCGTCCACGTCCGGGGTCATTCCAGCGACGGACGCATGCCGCAGCCGTTTGCGCAAACCGCGGGAACCAACATTGTCCAGGCGCAGGCGCAGGCGCAGGCAATTGCTCAGGCTCGGGCACAGACGCAGGCCGCGCAGGCGCAGGCCACCGCCATGGCGCTGGCGCAGGCGCAACTGGGCCATCACACGATGAGTGCAATGACCAACCCCATGCTGGCGCACAGCGGGTCGCACCCCGGCCCGGTCTTGCCACACGACCGGCTGCCGACCATGCCGTTCACCATGTCGGTCACCGAGCGTGCCGCGAGCCTCTCGGAGCGGAGGCGGTCGACGTCGTCATCGGTCCTTTCGGAGCGGCGTGGGCACCAGGCCGGGGGCACCTTTGATACCGAGTCGCTGCTGATGGGCAGTCTGACGGTCGACGACGCGCTCGGCTCGCCCATGTCGACGCCGCTGGCCTCGGGAGGCCTCTCGGCGCACTCGCCGCACTCTGCCATTTTCGGCGGCGGCCACTACCCGAACATGGTCGCGACGCCGCTCGCGACCGGGTACAACCGGCTGCTCTCGCGGTCGCCGACCCGTTCGCGCTCGCGCTCACGGTCGCGCTCGCGCTCGCTCGAACGCGAGCGCAGCATCGGCGATCCGACCTCGCACCACTGGTCCCACGGGCGGTCGTCGTCGCTCTCGGCGCACCGGGCGCGCCGGTCGTCATCGGCGTCGTCGCGCTCGCCGCCGCCGGGCGACCCGGCGTCGATGTCGACGCTGCTGACATCGGCCCAGTTTCGGGCCAAGCCGCCGTCGCGGGCGCTCGACCTCGCAGGCTTTGAAGGCCGCATGCCGGTCACATCGGCGCCTGTCTCGCGGCACGACTCGCCGCATGGGCGCGGCGCCAGTGGCTCGCTGCCGCGTGGTGGCGCTGTTGGCGGCGAGGCCGTGGCCATGATGCTCTCGCCGCGCGGCGCTATCGGCTCTTCACTCACCACTGACGACCTCGGGCAGCCGATGATGTCGTCACCACGCGAGCCGCGGCAGCCAGCCGCCGAACCGGCCGGCGAGCCAGTCTTCAACACCCACATCGACTTTTCCAAGATGGACCTCGGCCTTGACGACCTGTTCTCGTCGTCGATGCCCACAGTTCCGGAGCTGCCACTGGGGTCACTCAGCTTGCCGCAGGATGGCCTCGCCTCGCATCCGCCGGCCTCGTCAGGCGCGTACATCTCGCCGCGTGCAGGCGAGCTTCACACTTCGGCCGCACAGCAAGCGCGGTTGGAAGAGTTTTACGCCGCCGAGCGCGCGCATCGCTCACAGCTGTACGGTCCCGGCGCTGCCGCTCGCGCCTCTTCCAACTCGGGCGCGTACTCGCGCGGTGGTGTAGGTGGAGGCATCGACGCCGGCGCCGGCGCCGGCTACGACATCTCGCCGACTCGCACTCCACACGGCGATGACTTTAACCCGACTCCCTGCTGTCCGACTACGGCCTGGCTGGCTTTAACACAACGCCGCCGTAGCGTGGCGTGGCCCGGCGCAGCGACGCAGTGTGCCTGGGAAGAGCGAGGTAAATGAATCGCGACGCTCAATGCCGTGGCGGCGGCTGCGGGGCCGTTGTCTGCATGTACGAGTTGAGCGGCGGCGGTCCGCCAGTCATGCCGCCGTCGGACTGAGTCTGCATGTATGAGGCGAGCGGCGGTGGCGGGCCAGCGGTGGCATCGGTTCGGGCGCCCATGACTGAGGCCATCGGCGGCGGGAGTCCGGCGGCGCCTCCACGCCCGACCCCGCCCGGGCCGGCCATGACCGAGGCCATTGGCGGCGGGAGACCAGCAGCACCTCCAGGCCCGACCCCACCCATGACTGAGGGCATCGGCGGCGGGAGGCCGGCCGTCGCGCTAGGAGTCGGTGGCCCTCCGCCAGGCATGCCGTACCCACTCCCACCAGGCATGCCGGTGATGTTAGAGTACGAGGAGAGCGGCGGCGGGGCGCCGACAGCGGGCATGCCGTCGGGGCCGAGGACCGAGTCCTTTGGCATCATGTACGACTGGAGCGGCGGCGGGGCGGCAAGATTGGAAAAGGTGGCGAGCTCGGGAGGAATGCCGGCGGTGGTGGCTGAGGGGTTTGCCCCGCTCGATGCGCCCGCGGAGCCACCAGTAAAGTCAAAGGCGGTGCCCGAGTTGGCCGAGGAAAACGAGGAGAGCGAGGAGAAATTCGAGCCTGCACCGCCACCGATAGAGCCCGTGGCTGGTGGCATGCCGAGGTGGCTCGTCGATGACGCACGAGTCAGGCCTGGCGCTGGCTCGCCGGCGGGCGAGCCGTTCGAGTACGACGACATGGCCGAGTCAGCCGGCGTCGCCGGCGCGTCTGCGGTGGCCGGTGGACTCGGCTTCATCGTCACCTGGATCTGCGACGGCTGGCCGGGCGCCGGCGGCGCCTCGGGCACGCGGACCGACGTGGTTGTCGGGTCAAGGTGAGCCATGCGCGGGCCGATGGCGCGGAGCGTCGAAGCAAAGCCATCAGCGGCAGCAACCTGGACCTCTGCCACCGAGGCGTAAAGGTTGAGCATGTAGCAGAACCTGCGGTGCTCCTCGATGACGACATTGTTGAGGAACTTGGTCTGGAAAGCAATCATGTTGGCCTTGGACTCGGCGTGCTCAGATTCTGCACGCTCGAGCGTCTCTTGGTCGCCCTTGCCCTTTGCCCGCTTCTTCCGCCACTTTTCCAGCTCCTTCTCGGCCTTGGTGAGCGTCGACCCGAGCGACTTGGTCTGCTTCGAGTGCTTGCTCTCGAGTTCGCTGGTGTTGCCCTTGTACTTGGACGCCCGCGACCGCATCGGCTGCACAAAGCCCGATGATATCCGCGCCGCTACGCCCTTCTGGGCCGACCCATACCGCTTGAGGCCCGACGCTAGCTCTCCGGCCAGTTCGCCGACTTTGTCACCGCCGACCTTCTCCACCGAGTTGCTCAGCTTGGCCGCCTTGGAAAACGCCGAGCCGAGGTCGCTCGCTGCGTCCGCCAGGCCTTCCACTGCGTCCTGGAACTTGCCCATTGCCTTGAGGATCTGTGCGGGTGTGTGTGGGGGGGGGGGGGGGGCGTACCTCATCCCACACCTTTGGCTGGCGTGTCTTGAGGCGGGAGAGCGTGTCTTGTGAAGCGCGGATGCACTTGTCCACGTTTTCCATCCCCTTGACTTCTCTGTGTGTGTGTGTGTGTGTGTGTGTGTGGTGAGGGCAGGGGTGGGAGGGGGAGGGGACAGAGAAAGTGAAGTGCCTGTTTGCCGCAGGAGGACTGTGGTGGCTGATTCCGATTGCGAACGCTACGTTGCCACACGGCGGTGGCAAAGGTGTTGTCGGTGGATACGAGCTGAGGTGGCCGGCTACAAGTACAGGCGCAGTGGCCGATGGATCACCTGGCTGTGCAAACTTTCATGCGCTTCTAATAAAGCTCTCTATCGCCTTTCCTACCACAGTGACGGTGATGCAGCTGCTGTGGTGCAACAATGACTTTATCGCTCGACCAATGATTGTTGGTCGAACGAAGGAGACAAGGACCCTGGCTTCCAAT